TAATAAAGATGTTTTATTTGAAAAAAATGTGTATCGTTTATTTCGCATTTCATAGAATTAAATTACTACCAGAAGCTAAACTGATCAAAACACAGTGTTTTAAGAGCTACAAACTGCACAGTTCTATGTAAATGTCATAAAAATATATTTTAAAAATGTCACCGTTTGCTCTTGTTTAAACTCGTATAAGTATATCGTCTAGGAGCTTTGCAGAAAAGAAAGCATTTTACGTACAAGCTATTTATTCTGTTTATCAGTCGGAACACATCGGATATTAACCATTTAGTCAACAGCATTACCCGAGAGGTATCGATACTACAACAAACTTTACTGCGGTCCTGTTGAAATGGCTGCTTCCATAGGAGAACCTGTCGTGCTAGCAGATGATATCAAGGATAATAATATCCTTAATGTTGATACATGTATTACAGAGAGCGATGTAATTGTTACTCAGAGTTCTAACTTGATCAATACATACAAGGTATTTCTTCCTGAAAAACGAAAGAAACTGTCCTGTTAGTGTGGAGAAAACAACGTTCGAATTTCCTTTAATATTGTCAGGGACCTATATACTTAGTATATTGTTCAGTGCATTTGAATAATATACAGGTTGGGCACACACACTACCAAATGGTCATCAAATTGTAAGGTTGTCTTATATTTTTAGATTGATGACCAGAAAGCTACACAGAGCTGGTCAACAAAACACAATGAGCACATTACAAGTCCTGTAATATGGAGTGAACATGACCAGAAATTTATCACTGTTATCAATGAGAGGGTAAGGGCATGCTCAGAGTTCTGTTTGAGCATTGAAAGATAATTATAACCATATTTAGGAAATTCCTTTTGTCACTATGATCTTTTTATTTTATTTTTTTTTTCAGGCATCATTATATGACATGGATAAAACTTATATGTATATGAAATTCTCTATAGCTGTTAGATAATCACATGTATCTTTTCCTAGACTGTTAGAGCATGGGATCAACATGAACAGAACTTTGAGAAGTCAGCCACTAAAAATGTAAGTGTATATAAACAAAAATATTTAATATATATTGATTACTACAATTAAACACTGTCAAAGCAAATCCTTGGATTGTGATTTACTGTTTATAGCTATTATTTGTATCAAAATATTTTTAGTGATTTTAAAGAGGAAGCAAATAATCATTTTAAATACTACTATAAACTCTTACACATAAATATGGATTAGTTAAATTTACCAATATTTGAGCATGATAGTTTAAATAATGAAAGTGTGTTTGGATTTAATACATGTTCTTAGTAAATTTCTCCACAGGCTAAATGTCCAATACAGAAGATCCTTCCAGGTAACACTACAGAACCAGTCGTGGTGTTTAAGAATGGAGCTGTGACCTTTCTCAGTAAGGTCAAGGACATAAAAGAAGGTCTCCTAAGTGATAAAGATGAGATTCTGTTCTGTGATCTGGTGAAGATAAATTCTGATCTATGTGTACTCTGTCTGTTGCGACAAGAGGTAAGATTACTTAATATACAGGGCTCGACATTAACTTTTTTTCCTACTTGTCCATTCGGACAAGTGACCAAGAAATTTACTTGTCCCAATTTCAAATTCACTTGTCCGAAAATTTTCAATGAAGTTCAATAGTTTCAACTTGAAAATTAAAATTAAGTCCATTTATTTATACATGTCATGCAGTTGATTGATTTTTGATGTTATTGATAAATACAACAGACACATAAAACGAAATTTAATTTAGGCTTTCTGTCCTGACAATAACATAAATGTCCACAAGTGAACCTGTCAACATCAAACAATATTCACACTTCAGTTCATATCTTCCATGACTTTTCATTTTAGTATGATTGAACTTCGATCCCGATCGAATGTGAACTCAATATTAATATAGCGACACATTTTGAGATCGAAGTTTGGATTTTGTTTACAGCTTCTGTCTTGAGACTACCAATTTAGCTTTCAACAGTCGTTCTTTTTTTTATTTAGAAACCCCTTTACATTAAAATGCACTTGTCCAATCGGACAAGTGCCCAGCAATATTCACTTGTCCGAATTTATTTTTCATTGGTACCGGACAAGCGGACAAGTGTTAATGTCGAGCCCTGTTAATATATGTCTCATGGAAAGAACAGTTCTAGTTTTACAGCCATTTGTATATGAAATTTATCTTTCTCTCTTTCTATATATAAAGATGTTAATATGGCTTATTTTAAGAAAAAAAAGTCAAAAGCAAAGTTTGCACATTGTTGCCTTAACTGGCTTAAGGGTGGTATGTTGATATTGGATATAACATCCTTTTTACAGAACAGTTTGCAGTTGATGAGTCATTGGTACAGGAATGAGGAATGGATTCGACACTCTGAATCTGTCACGATGCCAGTAAACACAGAATTTGTCTGCTGTCATACTAGTGCTGGTAGAGATAGCATCAAATTATATATCCTGTGTAAGTATGGCTTTAGTCATTTTTCGGTTGATTTTCTCTTTGTATGTCAATGTGAGCAACTGGACCTAAAAAAAAATAAAAATAGCAGGGATAAAATTACTGGGGTGTATACTGTGCCTCATGGGCCTCTTGATGAAAATTTTTTCCAAGACAATATAAGCAAAAAATATTTACCGTGACATGTGTATTTTTCAGGTTTAAATGGTGATTTGTTATGTCAGACTCTGTCATTTCATCAATCTTCATCACAAGTGTTACAGAACATCCCTGGAGTCACCAAGGCAACAAAAATGGTGGCCCTCAATTCAACTCACATAGTGCTAGCTGGTTGTGTCAAAGATAATCAAGGTAAGTTCATCTCTTGATTGAATCTTAAAAGATAATTCATTTGGTAAATCATATAAAATCTTATTAAATGACTCAAAGTATATTCAATAATCTTTTTCTTGTATTTTATTAGCATGACAAAATACTCTTCATTAATAAAATTTTGCTTATTTTCTAGAGATAATTGGAATATTTGACATAAAATTTGGAACATATGAAACTTGGAAGAATCTACCAGCTTCAAGGAAATCAACCATTAAAGTATGATTTTTTTAATATGAAATATTAATTAAATACATGTATTTCAAATATGTGAAAAGGTTTTTTTTTTAAATATTGCAGATGGAAGTGAAATTTTATTTCAGAGCTTTGAAATTGTGAGTTTGGGTACTGTAAGTCATGAGATCCTTAGTTTTCTTATTGATATGTATATGAACATTTTGTTTTGATATGATAGAAAGTTCTTGTAAATAGTAGGGAAGTAACCCATCACAGACTAAAGGTAACATAATTTAATTATCCAACAAATAGAAATAAAGATATGTATCAGAAAAATAAAGTTATGTGATTATATTTGTATACATTTTCAGCTGTTTGTTCTACACGAACATCTCTTTGTGCTGTGCCACAGGACCCTGTATATGTATTCCTACTCCTGTCATCCTTCCACATTATCTAGTATCTTAGGTCACCAAAAGGTCGATGTGCATATTCAACATGACCCAGCTTCCCCTGGACCTTTGACCTGGTCTAAATCGGTAGGTTCAGATTCATATATACTGAGAAAAACAAAAATAAGACTGCTTTAAATGAACTTATTTATATTAATAATCATGGGATTTTTCTTATTTCAAAATATTTTGATATGTGTTAGATCCAAAGCTATACATACTGTAAACCAACTTTTATTCGTGTGCGAGAAATTTTCGCGAAGTTCGCGAGAGCATGGTCATCGCGAATATTTCTTGCCATGAACCGGTCCTTATAGTATATTGGTCTATGAAAAGAAGATGCAAAAAGGTTTGATCACGAAAATTAATTGTTGCGAACTAATTTATCCCTGGTTAATCGCGAAATAAAGTCTTCGCAAAAAAAAGTTGGTTTACAGAATATCATTACAACATTCATACCCTTCTTTTATAATTCTTATGATATCTTTTCAGAAGTCACCCTCACCAAACACTGAAGCTAACAAACTGTTTTCAGAGTTGCAAAATATATGCACTTGCAAGGTAAATCAATTACCGGTAACTAACCTATTATCATTTTTTACTCAATAGAAAAAAGAGACATCACCCAAAAACCCATATTAAGCAATTGATTTTTTTTAGAAATACATAATTTTTCAGTAATTTTTAAATATGATGACTGAAACTATGCACTAATGAAAGACAAGTTTTTTTAAAAAAATTCAGACACAGAAGGAATTTGAGAAGAAATTTTCAAACCTTCTGAAAAGTCACGGGGATGATGCCAGCAGTGTGATCAGTGAGACTTCCACTATGGAGCAGCTTGTCCAGAGATGTGTGTCTGATGAGAAGTTCTGGCCTCACAGCATTTTAGAACAGCTTCTTATTCACAGACTGTTGCCCAGTAGGTTAGTACATATGTCACACAAGTTCTGGCCTCACAACATTCTAGAACAGCTCCTCACACACAGACTGGTGCCCAGTAGGTTAGTACATATGTCACACAAGTTCTGGCCTCACAACATTCTAGAACAGCTCCTCCTTCACAGACTGGTGCCCAGTAGGTTAGTACATATGTCACACAAGTTCCGAATACTCAAAGTATTGTAGAGCTCCAAATGTCAAATACATGTAATTATCATGATACAATTGTTTGATATTTTTAAGTAAGACAGTTATTTTGTAAATTTCATTTAATATTTATCTTGATAATCTTTCATAATGCAAATATTTGCAAGAATAAAATTTTCATGAGCAGTCAGTTACACTAAATGAAAGGGAAAAAAAGACTGACTTACAGTACATAAAATACTAGAAACTGGCACCCAGTATGTCAATTATGTATGCAGGATCAACCTCTAAAACAGAGACTTGTTTGAAATATTCTATCTTCAATGATCTGACAGAAGATTAATATTTTCAGATGCATTAAAGACATAGCAGAGGGCCTAGTGAAACATGGGGACTTGACTCTGCTTTTACAATGTCTGAATTCTGTAGAAGATATTCCGGAAGAATCTCTCTGTGTGTTCACAAATTTTGTTCTCAGGTTAGTTTATGGTGTGTTGCAATGAGGTTTTGTTTGAAGTAATGTTGATAGTTTTAAATTATAAATATCCTTTATCTATTCTATGAGGATGCCACAGAAATCTTAAAGATGTTTTTATTTTCAGTGCTGATGATGCAAAGGTTTCAGAGGCAGTAAAATTAGATGGATACTCAGGAACCAGCAAAAGCAGCCAGTCCTTATCAGAGGGCAAAGGTCACATCATGTATCCTTCCTAACATAATAAACAAAATGAAATGAATACTTTGGAAGGATATTAGTATCCATGTCAACTACAGGTTATGGGGGTGTCACTCCTTCTGTAGAGGGTTACTCTGCTGTAAACTTGGATGCCTATTACATAATTTTGAACATGTTCTCCTTAAAAAAGTCTCAAAAGTAATATATGAGGATCCAGCTTCTTGGTATTTAGAATTATTATAATTAAAATGATTTAATATCTTCCTTTTTCCTTTTGAGTTATACATTTTCAGTCTTTTTCCCAGATCCTAAACAATGGCATCATCACAAGTAACAAGTATATTATGCATAATAGTGGCTCAAAAGAAATCGGTATATTTGTATATAAATCATGGTTTTGTACAAATTATTCTGTTGATGTTATTAATTTACATTTTTTCCCCTTAATTGTTCTATAGAAATAAGATCGTTAAAAAGTCCTACAATGATATTTTCATCATTGAGTGTCTCCATCATGTTACCTTCCAAAATGTTCTGGTAAGATTTTTGCCATCCATGCAGATATGTTAAAGAGAAATTGAGTTTAAGGGTTGTGTTAAACCTTTGGTGTACATGTATTATGTTTTCTTCGTAGATGTTGCTGGAGTATTTGTGCTACTTGCTCAATAACCGGGAAACAAACAGCAATGCAGCACCAGATCTTACACAGGTATTTTTAGTATATTGTGTTAATAAGGGGGTATCATTGTGCAAATACATGTATATCTTATCAATTTATTATAAAATAGACAATGTCACAAAACAAATGTTGATACTTATTACCATATCATCATATTTGATGAAATACTTTAGAGTTGTTAGGTCACCTGAGTAACTCAGGTGACCTATTGCTATCTGTTTTCGTCCGTCGTCGTCCGTCGTTTGTCATGTGTTAACATTTGAACATTTTCAGCTTCTTCTCTGAAACCACTGAACCAATTTCAACCAAATTTGGTATACAGCATCTATGGGTGAAGGGGAACATAAATTGTGAATTTCATGGTCCCTGCCCCCCTGGGGCCTGGGGGATGGGGCCAAAACCACCAAAATTATTGCAATCTTTAAAAATCTTCTCCTTTACTCCTGGACATCAAGCAGGCAAACTGTCGGCATGAATGTATTGAGCATTGAGTCCTCTACCAAAATTGTGAAATTCATGGCCCCAGGGTCAGGGGTTCTAATGCTAGGGCGGGGCTATATAGATTATATAGTGAAAATGCATTATTTCTTTAAAAATCTTCTTCTCTGCTCCTGGGTATTAAATAAACTAACTTCGTACATAGTTATGATGAGCAAGAGTGCCTCTTCCAAAACTGTGAATTTTATGGCCCCAGGGTCAGGGGTTCTGGTGTTTGGGCGGGGCTCTATTGATTATATAGTGAAAATGCATTTATTCTTTGAAAATCTTCTTCTCCGCTTCTGGGTATTAAATTAACTAACTAAGTACTTAGTTATGATGAGCAAGAGTGCCTCTTCCAATATTGTAATTTTATGACCCCGGGGTCAGGGGTTCTGGTGTTAGGGTGGGACTCTATTGATTATATAGTGAAAATGCATTTATTCTTTGAAAATCTTCTTCTCCGCTTCTGGGTATTAAATTAACTAACTAAGCACATAGCTATGATGAGCAAGAGTGCCTCTTCCAAAATTTTGAATTTTATGGCCCCAGGATCAGGGGTTCCAGTGCTAGGGAGAGGCTATATAGATTATATAGTGAAAATACATTAATTCTTTGAAAATCTTTTCCTTTGCTCCTGGGTTTTATGCCAATTATCCAAGTATATATACAGTATTTATGATGAAGAAAGGTGCATCTAGCAAAATGATTATTTTTTTATGCCCCCCCATCCCTGGGGCGGGGCGGGGGTGTTACGTAGTCTGAAAATAAATTAATGCTTTGAAATCTGCTCTTTGGTATTAATCAACCATTTTATGATAAAATTTGCAAAATTTTGAAATATATGGCCCCAGGGTCCGTGGTTCCTTTGGGGTGAGGTGCAAAACTGGTTATAAAGTGGAAGTGCATTTTCTCTTTGTTACTCTGATCAACCTCTGGGTATTAATTAATAGAGTAAGCATGCTAAATTTATAATTATGATAAGCAATGGTGCCTCTTTCAAAATTATGAATTGTAAATTTCATGGCCTCTTGTTTAAAACACGAACCAAAGTTATTTGTTTGAAAGTTGTTACACGATACTCAGGTGACCTATAAGGCCCGTGGGCCTCTTGTTTTAAGTTAAGCATTGACCCTTTTCTGTTATGTCTTGCATTGATATCTTTGTTTAATATACCTTTGAGAATTTTTTCACTCATATGGGGATGCTACCACTTGCCAGTCAAGGCCTGCAAATTTAGACCTGTTCTCAGACTTTGAGCAGTGGGGGTCTATTTTTGTGCCAGCACCCACTGCAACACAAGACCACAGTTTATATGGTCTCATATAAATGACCTGTCTCCACGTTCCACAGTTGCATTCCAGCCCACAACATGAGAACCAACTCCTTACTCTACAACTTACAGCACATGTTAATATGTTTTACAAATACCCTCTATTTCATGTACATAGTGTATGTTAATTGTGGCCCTTTTAAAAATGAACCTTTTTTCTTAATAGGTATGGGGTTGATTTTTTTCATTTATGAAAAATAAAGTAATCTTAGGTGCCTGTTGGTTAATTTTATGAGCTGGCTGACACATTTCATGCTTAAACAATGAAAATAAAATAATTCAGAATAATTCAGTCTTAGGGAAAATACATTTTCTTTCCATCTTGGTATGTGCCCATGGTAAAGTTTGATTTTATGCTGGTTGGGAGGTGCCCTATTTTAAAGTGTGTGTATTTGTGTGTTCCTGGTGTCGTACTTCATCACATTCTTCTCTTCATATCACAGATTGTGAACTTTGTCTGTGTGCTGATTGATGCCCATTACCAGCAGCTGGTTATCTCCCCTGATTCCCACCATGTGTTGATCAGCCTTCATAGCACTGTGGAGAAGCAGGTACATATCTCTGATGAAGACAGAAAATCATTAGGGTTTTCTACTTGCTGAATAATGGTAATATCATATATAATGTCATTATATCTTTAGGCTATACTAAAACCTTGCTCTTGTGCATATATACATGTTGGCATGATATAATTTGTGTCAACTATTTCAGAAGCTTTTTTTTTTAAGTTTGATGTTTAAATGCCATGAATCCATCTCAGCCTCTTATACCAGTGGTACAGAGTGAAGACAATAAATAGAATGAAAAAAATCAATAAACTTGTGTTTATTTGGATTTATCTAGCATTAATTCTTGAATAGCACTAATTATTTTTTCCCATCTGTGCGTCCATTTGTCTCTCCAGGTTTGCATATATATTGGTTTTAAGGAGGTTTGCCACATATCAAATGATAGATTTTCTCTGAAAAAAAGGCCAAAAAATTATGTAAAATGATTAAGAGCTAAATACATGAGTTTTGTCTTCTGATGATGATTTCATATTTTCATCTTGCTCTAAAACAAGGGAGATGTGGTATACTATCTTATATCATATGATTCACTAATCTCTCAAATTACAATAAATATTCCTAGTTCTCCCCTTCCAATCCACCTCTTACAGTAGTTAATACTTTAGGGAAGTGATTAAGGTCCTTTTTGGCACATTTATGCACTTAAAAATTCTCTAGTAACTTCCTAGAAAAGTACTTGACTTGTCGATAACACAAGGAAATTCCTTCTACCCCACTGTTCCGTAAACAGCCTAAAACTTAACATTTATTATTTCTTCCTCAGTCCTTGTATGTTTTATTTGTAGAGGGAATACTTTGCGGCGTTCCTGACTTTGGACGTCCTACTCTCACAGCTGAAAAGACAGTTTGCCATTCCACGCCCTCGAACCGTAGGGAAATACTGCATGGAAGTCTTGCATGTTTATTGAAATGATACGAAGGACAATGGATGATTTAGCTAAGCTCTTAGATTGAATCAGCTGCCTTAATTATGTATTTGTTATAGGTAAAATCTAAATATAACAAAAGATTGAACTAATATATATATGTATTTTCAATCAAAGTGTCAAAGTGAGTTGGAAGTCCCAATTATTTTTTTCCTGTATATATTTTAATCTCAAAATCTTCAGATATTTCCTTTTTTTCTACTGGGTCCAACTGAGTTTGAGATATTAAGAATTGACTTATATTGATACTACATATTATGTTATTAAATTTTTGCATTTGTAGTGACTATGACAAAGTTTAAATATAATTTTCTGTGAATTTATCTTGGTCAATTACATAGCTAGTGAATACACATGGATTAAAAAATAAAATATAGCTGATTTTCTGCATGATTAAGGAATAGTGTGTGGCATACAGTCCAACATCAGAATATTTTTTGCATTGATTTATGTACAAAAAATGTATTTATAATTATGTTAATTATCAAATTTTGGACACCCTTGTTAAGTTCTTCACAATAATTAACTACAATGTTCCTTAGAGATGGGCTACCTGGTTTGTAATAAAGTGAATTTTATACAAACAGATTAATTGCTTGTTTTACTTTATTGTCCGTTGAAAAAAAAAAAATTCGTAAGAAAATTTTTGTCTGGAAAAAATGTTTGTTTACATATTAACAAATTTGTGGTGGAAATTCACTAGGTCATTTTATTAGTTTGCTATTAATGGCCGCTAGCAACAAAGATACCATATCGCATTGAAAATAAACTACGGGGCCATCAAAATAGATCATTAACACATCGCTTCAGCTCGAGGCGCGGTAAAATTAAAATTTTACCGATCTTCTTTTGATAATTAAATGTAGATAATTATATAATAATAAAGCGCAAACAATTTATCGGGGATAAATATTAGTGCAGTCACACTGAATTTCGAAAAGTGAAAAACGTTGGGTGTAATTTAAATATTTACTATTTACAGTGGGATAAAAAGTTTGTAAACAAAACATATTTAACACATGTGTGTCAGCTGTGAAATCGGGTTTTCCCTTCACACTCTCTCGAGGTGGCGCACTGAAGAATTACACACTTGGATGTGCGCGACGATTTGACCATGCTTGGATAAACTCGAAAAAAGGTTATGTTATGAATGGATTTACTACACAGGTAAACGTGTTTTGGTATAAGCAGTGTCTCTGCAATGGATTAATTTTTAACTTTCTGGATTTTTACCCTGTGTTGTGAATGAAAGATTTTGTAAGGGCATGGACCAAAAGGAATCGGGTAAGTTTGCGTTTTAATTTTATTTCATTGGGAGGAGAAAGTGATATGATTAACCTGGGTCGGGATTTTCCGGGTAGCATATGTACGTGACACGGTTCTTGTAAACATCGGACACCACCGGTTGACAAGTTGATAATTTACAACTAAAATAAACCGTAGAAACTGAAATTGACAACTGAAAATTGTGAAATAGGTCTTGTTAAACCTGTTTATTGTAATGTTAATTTATTCAAAATACCCAGCGTAAAAAAAGTGATTTCTCACCGTAAATCAAGGTATTATATATGCGCACTGAAGTTCCATACTCTTTCAGTACAAAGCTATGATTGTGATGGAAAGAAAATCGTATTTTTAAGGGAGCAGTTTATTTGTAAAGGCAAAAAATACTAGTATTAGCAAGCACCTTGTAGTATAAGAACTGAAGGTTTGGGGTTTATAATTTCATCTCTGTTAATTAAAATTTGTTTACAAGGAGACAGTGAGCAATATTTTGTCAAATATCATATTATAAACTGTCAAAAATTTCCATTAAATATGCAGTTAAAGATGGGTGTCTTTTGGGCCAAGGGTACCAGGGGGAGGGGGGGGTCTACATGTACACAGGTCTTTCAGGTTAAATTCAATAGGTGTGAACAGAGCAGTAATGAAATATGTCTTTCTATTAAAGGAACAGATTTATTCAGATGTTGGTCGATTTTTGCTTTATGATTATAATTCTCTATAACATGACTGTCACAAAAAAATCAATATGTACATGGACAAAGCTAGTAAAATGAATGGATCAAGAAACACATAATCACAGTTCAGCTCAACTTACTTAATTACCACCATGAAATATACCTTATTCAGATTATTTCAAGCAAGAAAAAAAAATGAAATTCATAACTTATTTGCATCAGAACTAATTTAAATTTGGAAAAAATCTATAAAGTAACAGTACCAATCATCAGGTTTTTGAAAAGATGTGTGTGTGTGTATAATAGGATGTGTGTGGATGGGGTGGGGGTAGGTCTGGGAGGGTATATAAAAATTGTTGGATTGCACCTCTCAATATTTGATTTTTTGGACTGATTTTCTGTGTAATATATGTAACAATATTGAATTAAGACAATATAAAAATGCTAACATATATATTTTTTTCATCAGAGGTTGAGGTGTGGCCAGACATAACCCCCTCAGAACTGATCCAGCATGCTATCCTGTTCTACAGCCAGGGTCCACTGAATGGGCACCTCACAGGTAAAAAAACTACATAGAGTAGGGAGGGGTCAAGGAACTGAATTCTTATAGTTACCATAACTTGCAGTGGCCCCTTTACCTATTGTTCTTTGGAACCAAACTTTGTCAAAATACTAGCTAACATATCAGATAATTCTATGTACTACACGCTTTCGTTGGAAGGTTCGTTAACAGAATTAGAAATATGAGTTTTTGAAAATTAAATATTAAATACATGTTAGTATATTAATGCCTATTATGTAGGTATATGTATTATATAATGCAAGTTCATTACATACACATTGTGATGAATGGCCTCTGAAAATTACTGCTGTTATGGAGTAAGAGTAACATTAATAAAAGTTGTAATTAATAATTAAGTGCCTATAGTAACATAAGTAAATGTTAACAATGAATAATTAAGAGCTTAACAAAAGGAGCAGTAATTTTAGACTTGGTGTTGGTTGAACAAATTTTAGTGGTGTATAGGGACACAAGACTTTTTTCTGCATTCTTTAACTTTGATGAAGAATTACAGTGTATACACCATCAGCAGTATGCATGGAACTGTCTGACTATGTTTCATAAAAGTTTGGAGATTTAATAAAAATAAAGAAAAGGTCATCATTAACTAAATTTAATGTCAATATTAATTCAGATATTTATTATTTTTTATAGAGGATCAATTGCAACTCAGTTGGTTTTAGGGTAGGGTGGTGTAATTTCGACCACCTGGTTAATTTCGACAGTTCATAAATATCTTATTATATTTTGTTTATGACGTATAATTGTGTATGTACATTTGTAGTATGCAGAAAGAAAACATATTTTGAATATATTGTGTCCAAAATAATTTTATTTCCATGAGCGTTATTAAGATCATTATTGGAAAATTACATCAAAGAATAGGCTTTATCACCCGAAAAATTACTGACGAGTATATTTTTTGCCACTACGGTGAACTATCACCTCAGAAATATCTTGTATGGAAAGACAATCAATGGATATCCCTGGCGTGACATTTATCAAATATTATTTTGAAAATGAAATTAATACCCTTATAATTTATAGTATTTAGTTTTTTACAAATTAAATTGCAAATCAGCTTAACAGAAATCGGCCAAAGTTATCCCTACATGAATACGGCGTCACTGGGTAACTTCGACCAATGTAAAATGACATAATTTACTAATCTGTCACCAGAAAGAATTCATGATAGTCCGGAAAAAATAATAGAATACGTATTATATACATTAATACCTGGTAGAAACTAGTACAACAATAGTGAAAAATCATTTGTTTTATTTACATGTGGTTTAGATGCCTGCACATGTACATTTGTAGCATACATTAACCAATTGGCAAATCGGCGCCATAGATATCTGGTGCACTCGATGTCTTCAAATTAGGTACATTTTGAAAATTGTCATTTTTTTGGTCAGTATTTTTACTTGATCTTTTATGCTATACAGCAGAAAAATTAAAATTCATATTTTATCAACTAAATTAGAGCTGATGCTAATTATGTCCTTTGTATTGGCCCCATCGGTCGAAAATACCCCGTGTGCGGTGGAAATTACCCAACACACATATCTTGTAAATCGAACGCATTTATTTCATAGAATGACCAAAAATATATGAAAAATCAATGTAATCTGAAAGATTAAAAGTATTTCGAAGGTAAAAGGATCCAGTAAAAGTTGTAGCATAACATTACAGTGACATACTTTAACAAATCTTAAGTACAAAAAAATAACCGGTCGAAATTACACCACCCTACCCTATGTGTGCATGTTTTATTGCATGCAGTCACATCTGTGCAGATTATGCATTGACATGATAAATTACCTGTGCTTCTTTATTGCATCTGTTACCATGGTTAATAAACTCAGGAACTTATCATGGAAATATGCTCTGTTTTGCAACTGAGCATAATTTGGGTGGTAATACATACTCTTTGGACTTCATTTGGAATTAAAAAAAAATCTTTTATAAAAAATGTTTAATTTAATCACCAACTCCAATTTGAATGTACACTAGTTCACGCAACAAGTCAGAAATGAAATATTATATCATTAGGCACATTTAAAATATTTTTGGGTTGATTTCAGGAATGTATGAGACTATGAGATAAATTAACATGAAGGAAATTGGGGCACGTACATGTACCTTTTTATAAAATTGATCATTTCAATATTTAAAAATGTCATTATCATGTTCTACTGTAAATTATAAATTGATATTTGCTTCTACTCTGTACAAATTTGAAAAAAAAAATAAAACTTTCAAAATGATTGCTAAGTACAGATTATTAAAAATTCAAATTAACTGGGAGTCTTGGTAAAAAGAAAAAAAAGATTCACAATTAAGAAATGCTATCGCAATAGGGATGTAACGGTACACTTCCTCATCCTGCTAGGTGTGAAAGCCTGACCCCCCAGGATATGCCTACAACATGTTACTCTATATTTGTATAAACATGATGTACAGGCTTGCCTCAGTGTTATGTTCATATTGCCAAGCAAATACAATTTTCATCACTTTTAGTACGAGAATGGTTGGGTGATATTCCTGTTACAGAATTATAAACCTGAGTTTGTCACACATCCATGCAAGAAGACACCCATCTCTCACTTTCTATTTTTAGGAAACAATTTTTTATTTTTATTTATATATTTGTGGTTGCTAAAATTAATTGTACCATTGGAGTTCAGTGTTTCCAAATTAACAATTAAAAAAATGTTTATTTTTCCCCAGATCATTGTAAACATTAAATAGAAGTCCATCTGATCTGTTGAACAGATCAACACCTTTTGTCCTCTGATGGTATCCAAAGGTTCCCCTATCCTTATACAAATCATGCTGATGCACGCCTTCTTTGGGCCAAAGTGATTAACTGTAATTTTACAGTAATTTTGACAACTCTATTATTTAGAGGGCTGTAGAAGTTTAAAACCCAAGGGATTGTACCGATCCATTCAAAAAAGGTCTCAGTTCGATTTATAAGACATTCAGAACAGAGAAAAACAGATTGCTATCAATTTATTCCCAAAATCTATTAAAGACTGACCATTATGTAATATTAATGTAAGTGAATGGCTCAAGATACCCATGGCTCAGTATAGCCTGTATTTTATTTTGCTGAGATGTTAGCACTCTCATAACCTTTTAGATACCCTATAGTAGTGTGATGTGTGCTGTTGACAGCCGAGACAGTGTTGACTTTTTAGGATTGTACGTTTAATGGGGACTGCTAGGAGTGACCAGGCAGATCTTTATCTTTAGACACCTGTTAAGGCTTTAATTCAGTTCCTCTTTGCCATTTTTATTGTGCAATTTTCATGATAAAAGTTTATCAGAAGAACAAATATGAATCTTTCTAATAGGAAGATAATGTGTCAGATGTTATTGAATATAAGATGGACAAGCGGCCTTCCTTCATAATTATACATAATGACTTGTCTTACCAACCTAGAAGAGCAAGGTTTATTTTTTGTTTGCCTTCTATGTATATTAAGTACTCCCAGTCAAAGTTAAGGTCATGTAAGCAAGTTCATAGATTCAAATATACATAAAATTACATGAGTTGAAGATATCTAATTTAGCAAAATTTCTTCTTGAACAATTTAAGAATTTGGATCTCCAAACTTTATTAGTGGGTGCATTTTTGGGCCAGTCAGTCTGAATGTAGGTCTTGATGATTACCCTCCCCCCTTCATTCATTTAATGTCAAATATTTTTTGCTGCATAGGTAGGGCTCTTTGAAGTTTAGGATCATTAAATTTTTCATCAAGAATTTAAATGAAACAACTCCAAACAGGTCACAATGACCTACATTTTAATCTTACTTACAATTGATTATTATCAAAACTTTTTATACTGTAGGACTTTAAATTATCAAAACTTGTCAGGTAATGTGTCTTGGGGCATTGATGTGTAGCTCACAGTTCTTCATCTGACTGTCAATAGCTACTACACGTATAAAGTTTATTTTTGTGAAGCAACCCTGAAATCTAGGCATTTTTTACATCTGAAAAAGGGGTCATAGTGAATTTTTAGCTCTACTGGTCAGAGACAAGAAGAGCTTATGCGATAGTAATGCGTCCGGCATCCGTCCGTCTGTCTGTCTGTCCGTCTGTCTGTAAACAATTTTTCAAAACGCTACTCCTCCTACAGTTTTGGTCTGATTTCAATATAACTTGGCACACACGTAGACTACACTAAGATACATAAAATAGAGCATCGGTTTTTGATTTCGATGAACGGTCATGCCATGGTTACTAAAAATAGAATTTTCTGTGAAATTCCTTTCAATTGCTACTCCTCCTACAGTTTTGGTTTGATTTCAATATAACTTGGCACACAAGTAGACTACACTAAGATACATAAAATAGTGCATAGATTTTTGATTTGAATGAACGATGTTGCCATGGTTACTAAAAATAGAATTTTCTTTGAAATTCCTTTAAAACGCTACTCCTTCTACAGTTTTGATCTGATTTCAATATAACTTGGCACCCAAGTAGACTACACTAAGATACATAAAATAGAGCATCGGTTTTGATTTCGATGAACGGTGTTGCCATGGTTACTAAAAATAGAATTTTCTGTGAAATTCCTTTCAATTGCTACTCCTCCTACAGTTTTGGTTTGATTTCAATATAACTTGGCACACAAGTAGACTACACTAAGATACATAAAATAGTGCATCGGTTTTTGATTTCGATGAACGGTGTTGCCATGGTTACTAAAAATAGAATATTCTGTGAAATTCCTTTTAAATGCTACTCCTCCTACAGTTTTGATCTTATTTCAGTACAACTTGGCACACAAGTACACTACATTAAGATACATAAAATAGTGCATCGGTTTTGATTTCGATGAACGGTCGGGTGCGTAACATTACCGCTACATTTTCAAAATTTTCATTACCGCTACATAGTCATTACCGCTACAAAACACCTTACGTTACCGCTACATAGAAAAGTATACATTACCGCTACATTGCCTCTTTCGTTAGCCAGCCACTTATGCGTGTACAGTACAACCTATACATGTACATGCATAAGACCCGTTCCTCCTGCTCACCACGGGGAGGTGAAAGTAGGACTTTGAACAGGATGGTTTTTTTTTTTAGCTAAAATCATCAAATAATTCGTCGAGGTCTGTTTTGCAGCTGCTTTTGCAACTCTTTTCAACGCATCTCCACAATTTTGAGTTTTTGAAAGTCTTATTTTTTTCTATATTTATATAAAAAAAAATCGATAAGTAAGCCGGCATTCCCTCGATTTGTAACAAAGTTCAACTGTTGATTAGCACTCATGTAAACCGAACTATACCTGGCTAAATCGATATGTAGCGGTAATGAGTTGTTTTTGGCTGATTCAGTATGTAGCGGTAATGAGTTGTTTTATGCCGGAAAAATGTAGCGGTAATGATCGGTCGAAAATCTGACAAAATGTAGCGGTAATGAGTTGAAATTTTTGGCAATGTAGCGGTAATGTTGACCTCCCGAACGGTCATGCCATGGTTACTAAAAAAATAGAATTTTCTGTGAAATTCCCTTAAAATGTTACTCCTCCTACAGTTTTGATCTGATTTCAATATAACTTAGCACACAAGTAGACTACACTAAAATACATAGAATAGTGCATCGGTTTTGATTTCGATGAACGGTGTTGCCATGAAAACTAAAAATAGATTTTTCTGTGAAATTCCATTAAAATGCTACTCCTCCTACAGTTTTGGTCTGATTTCAATTTAACTTAGAACACAAGTAGACTACACTAAAATACATAGAATAGTGCATCGGTTTTGATTTCGATGAACAGTGTTGCCATGAAAACTAAAAATAGATTTTTCTGTGAAATTCCTTTAAAATGCTACTCCTCCTACAGTTTTGGTCTGATTTCAGTATAACTTAGAACACAAGTAGACTACACTAAAATACATAAAATAGTGCATCAGTTTTTGATTTCAATGAACGGTGTTGCCATTGTTACTAAAAATAGAAATGTCTGAAATTCCTTATAATGCTACTCCTACAGTTTTGGTCTGATGGCAATGGCTTCTTTTCTCATCCTTTGTTATAAGTACAAACCAGTAGAGCTACAGTCTCGACAGAGACTTCTGGTTTTTTCATATTGTAGGTATCTTCATTGTCACGCACATTTTTGATAGTATGGGACTCAAGGTCATCAAAACTTGTCAATTTCACACATCAGTATTTATATAAACACTTGTTCATTTTTTAATCTGTTCTCCAAATTTTTTACATGTATACATTACATGTGTACATATGAAATTCATATTGCTTTGTTCGCTTAAAAATGACAGATGGTCAAACACCTACAAGTCATATCTATAATGTACAAGAAATTTGTGTTATATGTTCAATCATAATTACAGGGGAGAGGGCCAGAGACATCTTTCTTCACTCCAGACTACCATTGACAGTGCTCAGCAAGATATGGTAAGTTATTTTTTATTGGGTTAGAGAAATGTCTAGTCTAAAACCAAGATGAAGTTAATTTGAGGTGTTGAGGCCTACTTGACTTGCAAGTCTCTTTTACTTGCTTTGGAATATCCAGTCTGTTTTTACAATTGCTACACTGTTTCCTCCTTGCTTGCCTGTTTGTTAGTACAATTCTGCAAAGTATTACAATTTTTGATCAAGTGGGACCCATAATGGCTACCACTGGTTTGATTTATGGATCTGAACAAATAAGTAAATCTATCAGAAAGAAATGTTGGGTGTCTTGTAATATCAAATGCTGAGACTTGCACTTTGTTGTTTTGCACCAAAAGAAAAGCTACTGTACTTTTTTGACTTACTAGACTTAATTTGACCTTTTTAGATGTAAGGCAAGATTAATATAACCATACTGGTACTTTATTTTCTCCTGGTGAAATAAGAGGAAAATGATCATTATCTATTTTGCCTATGACAGGATATGATCTTTAATAAAAATAGAACACACCAAAAATATTCATTTTGAAATAACATTTTGTTTCAAATTCTGTACAAAACTTGATCATTTTCAAGGAAATGCTATCTTATGTACATAGATAAGAAATATATAGGTAAAAAAAAATACAATACAGATGAGTTCATAAAGTATTGATAGGGAAGTAAAATTTTTGACATCCCCTATGCCCTACCTAACGAATGTAACGATTACTTACAACAGTTGACATGCTATCATTGCAAATATTTATTGTATGTAATCTCGTAACATAGAGACTGGTTGTGTGAATGCGAGACATTCACCAAGTCTCAGGCATCTTTGGTTGCTAGATTTTTGTCTTTTCATTCAAAGATGAAATATTTTGTAGGACTTTATGTTCCCTTTCAAATTTTTGTTTGATGAAAAGTATTCCTGACCTTTCTAAGCTCATTACATACCAAGGAGAACTGAGTTACATGTTGGATATGCCATGGATATCCTAATTCTGTGCCTCTTATATCTATATACAACATAATTTAATATGGATACTTGAGGATCAATTTTGGCCACCTGTTTATTACATGTCATGCTTAGAAAAATTAAAACCAAGTACTGACAATGCATTGGGTTTTCCTATGAGTATCTTTGAAAAAATGCAAAGTACAACTACATGTTCTATTAAAACTTTTAATCAGATCTTAAGAACTTTTACTTGCATCTTTTAGGAATAAACGAGCATTTGAAATGTCAATTATGCCAGTATTCTATACTGGAGAGAGGGAAAGCTTGTTTTATGTACATGTATTTGTGAAAATTTTAATTCAAATATTTATGAAATGTGTCATCCTTTGGCACAAAGAATCCCAGTTGGCATGAATAATGAAAGTAGAGAGATGTCATTAATATATGGCTATAAATAAAGTTGTAACTTAGGTGGTAGTTCAGGGAGAATTTGTCAAGCCTGATTGTTGCAGGGATTTTTTGTGACTATCTCATTAGCATTAATTCATTTGTAACATGTTAATCTTTTGAGTAGAAACAGATTGAGTCATGGTGTTCCATAGAATGGACTTAAATATTTCTTGGAAGACTATGTAGCCAAGTTTTTGTTTTGTGCATTATAAATTCAACATGATGAGGCTCTTTATCAGTAAAATTGCCAAAGATGAATTTTCATGCACCCATAATGATAGAGTCATGTGCATGTTCTTTTTACTCTGTCTGTGTGCAAAAAGTTTAATCTTTACCATAGCTTTTGATTACCCATGGCTTTCATATCTTGCATGTGTATTTTTGAATGACAATTAAGACCTCTCCTTGGGTACCAATACTTTTGACCTCTTTACCTTGACCTTGGATTTTGACCCAATTTTGACAAAAAAATGACCTAGGTTAACTTTGGCAATAACTTTTGAATGGTTGAAGAAAGGACTTTTCATACTTCATAAGCACATTCCTTGGGGACCTGAATAAATTTGACCCTTTGACCTTGACCTCAGAGCTTTAAAAACACTTTTGCCATAACAATTGAATGTTAGGTACTATAGCTGTCATATTTCACTTATTTAATTCTAGTGACATAAGGCCTTCTTTTGGGCACCATTAATTTTGACCTTTTCACTTTGACCTTAGAGAATGACCTACTTTAAAAACCTTAACATTTGCCATAATTTTAATTGGTTGGTGCTTTCACTGAACTAGTCCATATTAACTGCATGGATATTTATGGACTTTAATGGAATTGCAATAAAAATCATAATCCCAGTGCCTGATATTCTGAGAATATATGAATTTTCAAGGCAACATATATAAAGATTCATGACATTCTTTATTTTATAATTCCCTTCCTTGTTCTATTTTAAAGATTCAGATTTTAAGACAAAAATCTTAATTCATGCAATGTGTGCCATACATTATGCGAATGGTTTTACTCCAAATATTTTTTTCCTTGAAAAGTTGTAAATATTTATAACATCTGGTTGACAAAAATGTAGCATTATAATGTTACCTCAGGGAAATAATGATTGGGAAAAAAATCTTAATCTTGTGAAATAAAATGTATTTACAGTGTCTTTAAGTATTTCTTAAAGTGCATCTTATAATTCTAAAGTTATAATATTTTTAAAGGAAAATATTTTTAAGTTCTCTTTCAAGTTGAAGTCCTGATAGAAATACTTTGATTCAGGACTTGTCTCCTTGCAGACTGTCTTCAAAATGATTATGTCTCCGAGGGCCTTATCAGGGACATCTGAGAGTTTTCTGTTGTCAGTCTTTTGTAGTCTATCTAAAAATTATATCATACCGAGGTATATAAAAAAAGACAGGCAGTAAATCAAAAACAAATTCCACTGCCTCATTCACCGGCGAGAATTAGCACACACTTGTCAGGAAGAGGACCATCTGCATATTAAATTTTTTTATCAGTAAATACCTGTATATAAAGTAAAGAAGTAAATTTGTATAGGTTATTTGTAAGGCTTTTGTTCTGTTTTTCCTGTCAGGTATGCAAATAATCCCGTATTTGAACATCATGTTCATGGTACGTTAAACAGACTTACTATGTAGAAAACTGTGAATAAAAGTTATCTTAGAATATGAATGGAAGAAATCAGGCATATGCACACTTTTGATCATGTTGATCAGTTTATTCCCCTTTTTTGCAGTTAAAGAAATATTAATGTGCATAAAAAATGTTGACATTTCCTTGCAGAAGTTTTTTCAAAGTCAGTGAACATGTCTGATAATTATTTTTATGAATTAAACAAAATTCATGTACATTTGAATGAAAAATAAAAATAGGAAAGAATTTTTAATGTAGAACGTACAATAAAATAATTTACAGGCTTGATTACTAGAAAGCAATTATTTTGTAGATTTGATTTGTTTATATATACTTTTTGTATTTTGTACTTGAATATTTTATTTTTTTTGATAATAAATACCTATTCGACAATTAATTCTACTGTCATGTTTCGGGAGGACGTGTTTTTGTTTGGTTAGGATTATCAAGGTTTTATAAAGAAAACTAAGGATAAAATGATTTGATGAATTAGAAATTAATGAGTGGCACTTATGAGAAACCTGGGCAGGACATTGGGCAGAGGTTAGACAAATTATAGGCTGTTGTTTTTCCTCGTATAAAATTAACACAGGAATTGTTTTCCAGCAGTCCCTTTTATTTCTATATCTGTGTTAATGATTCTTTGACATTCATTATACATGGATAAGAATTTTAAGTGCTGTATGAAATTAACCAATATAATAAAGAATATGAAAAGAAACGTTTCAGTAAGTAACCTTGAGAAAATTTTCAATTTTTTAAACTAGCTTACGATATTACAGATACATCGATCGAGACAATATTGTTTGTAAAATTAGTGGATCCAGTTTGTTATAATTTGTTACGATAAATCAGTTTTTTAAAACTTTGTCAATAAACTTTATGAAGAAATTAGAATATATAAAACAAAAGAAAATTAATGGCACTTTTTGAATGTTTTCATTCTATTGACAAAGGAGCTAAATTAGTTTAAAAGACATATAATTCTAGTCTCAAGTTTTCACAAGAAATTATCATTTCAGATAATCAGTTTGGTTTTTCCCTTCGTAAAGTAAAATATAGTAAAATATGTGTTCAGATAACAATAAAATGTTGTTTTTGTGTAATAAAAATAAATTTCTTAGTAAACATTTATTTGAACAATCAATCATGGATAAAATTATCCCGATATTGACATTTATTTTGTTTTTGAGCACTTAAATTATACACTTCTACCCAATTGTATCTCAGTCCTCTTTTAAATAGGTTAAATAGGTCCTGTATTGTGTGTTAGAATGAATGTTATCAGGTCTTAGTTGTACTGCAATAATATCTAACAAGGAACATTCACACCTATTCAATCTCGTAAAAAGATCAATTAGAGTTAATCAGTTAGTGGGCTGAAAAGACTGAATAGTATCGATGAAATGTAAATTGAGTACAATGTTTAAATATCTGTCTTTTTTAAGTTGGGGATTTGTGATTGATTGAGATTGAAGGAGTAATGATTTGTATGTCAAATATTTGTGTCAAGTTACGGACAGCCCTCGGCTATTAGGGATTCCTATCGGAGATTTACATCTTTACATTCTGTTGACTGTGGCATCCGAAATTTCACGGTACTAAATTTCTCACATGACTGTGTTTCTAAGTCTCCTGTCTTTCAACTGAAGTTGAGATGTTGGGAATTTCTTTCAGAATTTGAATTTAAATAAAAGTCGATGATTAATATTTATATTTTGTGCAAAAATAGATTTTGAATATAAAATGCAAGAGATCAGTTATGGAAATAAGTAAAATTTTGACTACCTGTGCATCCTTTTAGATAAAGACAAAGTTAGCATGCATGTATGTATATAATAGACATGTCTAGCTTAATTACATGTACAGTTACCAGTTTTAGCGATTTAGATTAGCAGTTTTGGAGATTTTGTATGTCCATTCCAATTCAACCAAGCCAATCAAGACCAAAGATTCCTATTCATG